AAATTTTATTCCATCCATAAAATAATTAAAAACAATGGATTTAAAATTTTTTAGTCAATCTATATTAGTTTTTAATAAATGTTTTTCTTTAATATCATAAACTTCAAGGATATAATTCATGACTTACATATACAAACGGGAAGATTGCAAATATAAATTGAATCTTATAGCTTTGAGTGATTATAAGAGTAATAATATAAATTTTCAAATAGAATTCAGGAGTTAATTAAATGTTCATAAACTACTTTGGTTATATCCATAAATTTTGCAATTATTTGGTAGAAAAATGTGTTCCACCCTTGAAATAATTGTGAACATCATATTTTAAATTTTTGGAGAAGATTTCTCACTTATTAATAAAAATATTGAAATATCACAATCTTATATAAAAAAATGAAATATTTCAAATATAAAATATGTAAGAAAAATAGTTGTTTTAGTAGAATGAAGAGAGAGAAATTGACTCGAATCTTAAACATGTTTTGTAAAGAAAAAACAAAGAACGAAAAATATTTTGGCTCTGAGTAAAAAATGAAAGGGGCAATTGTAAAAATGCCACTTATGGGTGTTAATTTGCAAAAATACCATTAATTATGAATTTTTAAAGCCTAAATCTTAAAATTATTAACCCTAAAAAATGTTTTGACCCCTAAAACCCCTTAAACCTTCAAAACTAAACCCTAATACATCCAAATATAAATGATATAATGAAAAAATAATTTTGAAAAAGTGGCATTTTTGTAAAATGGTATTTTTAAAAATTTTTCAAAATGAAAAGCTAGAAGATGATTGGTTGGACTTAAAAGCTATAGCCTTTTTTCTATTGCCAATTAACCTAATGCTTTATTAACGATAGACAAAAATTAAATTTTAAAAGCTATAAATTGAGAAATATTTACTTTTTATTTTATTTTAAACAAAAGATTTACAGAAGTAGTAAATAAAGAAAAAAAGAAACTTTTGCTTTCAACTGAACTAGTAGATGAGTAATATAAATATTATAACTATTTATCTCAATAAAACACTTTACCAAACAAATAAATCCAATCAAACAAATAAACTCAATTARTTTAGATAAAATAAAAACATAAATAATRAYTAAASGGAATGCAAARTGGAAACATTTAAAAAAAACAATAAACTTATTTAAAACTACTCAATTTTTGTCCATATAATTTAATACAACGTAGTCAACTATTTACACTCCCACTAATAACTATTCAATATAAAATACTATACTTCAAACTACTTCATTTCTACCTACAAGCTAAAAACAAAAACTATCATATTATTTCAAACTAATCAATTCCACCTACAAACTAAAAACATACATATCTAAAGTTAGAACATATTACATACGACATAATATAAAAACTAATATAGTTTACAGCATATACAACGAATGTTTCTACACATAGTGCGGGGGAGAATCTAGTTAGAAGTGAAAACTAAAAACGTTCGTCCATTTTGATTGTTTTTCACATTGTCATTTTGATTGTTAAGAAGATCCTTTCGGTTGAGAGGGCTCAAAGGTATGATTCTCCTGAATCACGATATCAAATCATATAATAATTAAAAACATATAGTGACTTACCTAATCTTACTAGATTTTAAATCCATGAAATTTAATGCAACTCACAATTTAGTTAGCGAATCAAGTTACAAGAAATTAAAACAAATCTTCTCCATGATCTTGTTTGAAGTATTTTACAACAAAATCATTTAGTGATGAGGACATATGGCAATTTCTCATGTTACATAGATGGATAAAGATTGGAAAAGACTAGTTAAAATATCTTAAATTGCTACCAAACGGTCAAATTTGGTCCCCCTTCATCCATAATGGTTCGTTGATGCATTCGGGCTCGTAAAAAGCATATTAAAAAGTTGGTGATAATTACTTAAAAGTCTTCTTTTCGTTATATATTATGGTAGTCACAAAATGCTTTTGCCTTCATGATTGAAGGTTGGCCTCATCAAATATGTCACGCACTTGTATGGTTTCTTGATACAATTCTTAAAATACCATTATTATTCTAGAAAATCATATCACCACTCAAATGTTTATACTATACGGTACCTATGCATATGATTTGAGCTTGATATAGAAATGCGCCAGTTAAAAAAGTTTTTTTATATCACTTGAAAATGATTATTGGACGGGCTTAAAAAATTTAGTTTATATTGGGCCATATTATTTCTGTCTCAAAGGTTAGGGGTCATATCATTAATCTAATAAAATGTCAAAGAATGGGCTGTGAAAGTATAATTTAAAGTGCGAGGCGGTCTCAGTCTATATTGGGCCATATTATTTTCGTCAAGATTGATGTCACAACTCACAACGAGGCTAATTGAACAAAATTTAAGCGAAAAGCTCTTAATTAAGGCAGAGATGAAATTATTCAAATCATTGTTTCTCAATAGAACTTTGATGGTTTTGCTCCAAGAAACCTGAGTCTTGGTGAAACCAAAGCCTTGGATTTTATTTGAAAAATCCAAACTTTTAGATGAGCTTTGACTTTTGATTATTGGCTATTGGTTTGAAACCATTTGACCTTGTTAGTTATCACACACAAATAAAGATCTAGATATTTCAAGAGCTATTAATTACCAAAAAGAGAG